CCATGTAGTATGGCACAGGTATACTTCTAAATATAGTACTTTTAAAAATTATAGAAAATATGTGTATCTGAACATGATTATTTTAAATCCAATGTGCTTTATTTCTAGAAATTTGAAGCTTTTTGTATATTACTTAAAATATGACTTTGAGCTCATAGGCATGAAAAATGTAATTTCTTTCCCATTTCACAGTTGGAAAAACTGAATTACAGAGAACAATGCCAGTAATTATCTATGATTAATAGTGGTGTGTATGTAAATCAGTCTGAATAAGTGTGTGAAATTAGATGTGCCGATGCCAGATAGTGCTGTTCATGTTTTTAAAAAGATGAATGCTTTCATGTAAATCTCTCTGTGAACTGGGCATACATCTCTCCGTGTTTTGAGCATATCTGAAAATAAATTTTATAAAAATGTTTAGATATTTAGGTAACTATTATGTATTATAAATATAATATGTAAAATAAATTTGGTGGCTTTATAATAATTAGACAAATGTACATCTATTGAATATTATGAATGTACACATAATGGTTATTTAAAATGTTCTGTAGATTTATATTTGTATCAAGTGGGGAATTGAAATTTGGGTATACTTTGCTCATTAAAAATTGTGTGGAAGGGCTGGGGATTTAGCCCAGTGGTTCTGCTGCCTGCCTTGCAAGCACAAGGTCCCGAGTTTGATCCCTGGTACACACAAAAAAAATTTTGTGGAAAAGTGCATATTATTTTCTTAGAGTTATAGGGATTCAATTAATATGTGCAAAAGAGCTTAGGGCTTTCTTGGTGTATGAGAAGGCCCCATCTATTGTTATTATTATTATTTATTAATATTGCCATTTTTGGACAAATCAACACTATTGTTATGTTAAGGAGCTTAGAGACAGACATTTTCTCATTGATTCTCAGAATGGTATCCTATGAAAAATAAGTGAAACTGTAGGGATTGTTCATTGATGGTTATAGCATGGGCTGTGTCTAGGGATTTCTCCCCATTTTTCCTTCCATCACTTTGGAATCTGATTTCAGAGCCCATCCTTGGAGGTGCAAGGGAGGGCGAGGCCCTTTCCTCCTCTGACTTTTTTTTTTTTTTTTTTTTTTTGTTCTGG